TATTGCTTCTAGACAAACACAGTAAGGAAGCAAGCATTGGATCTGTCTGCACTTGGTATTATTTCCTAGCAGTTTCTCTTGAGACAAAGTCATAATGGAAGAGAGGCAGAATATATTAAATTTTCCAGAGTATATTAAATTTCTTTTAGGTATATTGCCTTAATTTCCTGTGTAACCTCTAGATATAATTTCTTCTAGGTGTTAGCACATGGACACTGTTTTCAAAGATGACTTAGATAATATTTGTAATTTTGTTTTATTGTACTAAATTATCCTATTAATTTGAAGTAACTAATGGAATAGAAAACCTTTGGGCTTTCCTTTGAGAATTTTTGCTCATAAGGAAATTCTTTCTGTGCATCATCTTTTGAACCTGGAAATTTTACCCTAAAAGGGGCATTTTCCTTTGTAGGTTTCACAGATGTTGAATGGACAAATGCATGAAAAAATGAACAGGCTGTGTTCCTTGTTCAAAACTCCTAGATCTTGTTTTTCTCTCGCAAGAGAACTTTATTTTTTACAAACTTAGGGCATACAGAACTGCGGACAGAGTTTCTGAAGTTCATAGAGATTTGGATTTGTGGTTAGAACCAGTTTGAAAGCTGGACCCACTTGAACATGGCTCTGCCAGGACACCCAGTATCCCCATGTCTCTGTGTGTGGAAAGCTCTGTGCTTGGGCATTCCCCTGGCTCTTCCTCATCCTGCCTTTGACAGCTCTTCTGTGTGACCAGCGGACTGAAGGATGATTCATCCCTGGGTCTGAAGTCAGCTTGGCCAAGTGAGATGTTGAAAAATTAGAGAATAGTAAAGAATCTCTGAAATTAAAACAGCTCTTTAAATAGCTTAGGACAACTGGGTAAAACCTGGCAATACCTCCAATAGAATGTTCTGTAGTATTATTAACACAATTAAAAGTTTTTTTTTTACTATGTTAATCACCTGAATTAATGTCTTCATTGCCAATCAAGCCTTGATTGCCTTCTATTCATTAGCTTTTGATTTAATTAATGAGACTTGTTAAAGAGGAATCTTCAGTGTTTTCCTGTAAACAGCTCTCATTTATTGATTCAATTGGAATTTTGTAATTATTCTAAGGAACTTAAATCAATGTTTGAAGTGTATGTTTTGGAACTTCAATAAAATCGTTTAAACTACACAAGGTAGTTATTAGATATAATAACTTCTTTTCTGTGTGATTCTGTGTCATTTTTATAGAATAACAGATATGTTCTTTTGATGTCTTTAACAAAATGACATTTCGTTAGAGTCAGTAACTTGGAATTTCAAGTATTTCAGTCTGTGCTAAAGTTTATAAAAACATATGCATCAAAGGTAGAACATTAGAAAATTGGTAATGTTATTTTTTCCCAAAGGTATTTTTTCCAAAAGTGGAGCAAGTGACTTAGCATTTTTTCCTAGGGCTTTAGAACTAAGGGTTCCAGTAGTTGGTGAGTGTCTAGACATGTAGAGAAAAACTAATTAAGAAAAGAGAAAGTCACAGTGACTCTAAGGTTAAAGAGCAATTTGATAATCAATATGATTCCTAAGGGGAGACCACTAAAGTAGTTGAAGAAGAGGGAGATACTGATTAGTGGTCTAGACACAGATAATTAAAGGGTAGTGGGGGTTTTGAAACATGGCTGTTGGGTGCAGAAGGGTTAATTAACAAAGCATTCTATAAACTCTAAAACTTTAAGGAAATGAAAACTTGCCATATCCACATGTGTCAAAATCAAAGAGGTTACACATTTAATTTGAAAAAGGACAATAAATACTTAAGCCAAACATGAAAGAAGATACTGAAAACTTTATTAAATTTGAGATTTCTGAAACGTTTGAAAGCAGCAATTATTATACTTGAATCTTTTTTTTTTTAAAGATTTTATTTATTTATTAGAGAGAGGGAACATGCGCAAGCGAGAGCGCGAGCAGGGGGAGTGGGGGAGGGAGAAGCAGGCTTCCCGCGGAGCAGGGAGCCCGATGCGGGACTTGATCCCGGGACTCCAGGATCATGACCTGAGCCGAAGGCAGTCGCTTAACAACTGAGCCACCCAGGTGCCCCGGTCTCTGTATTTTTTTTTTTTTTAAGATTTTATTTATTTGACAGAGAGAGTCACAGCGAGAGAGGGAACACAAGCAGGGGGAGTGGGAGAGGGAGAAGCAGGCTTCCCGCCGAGCAGGGAGCCCGACACGGGGCTCGACCTCAGGACCCTGGGATCATGACCTGAGCCGAGGGCAGATGCTTAACCGACTGAGCCACCCAGGCGCCCCTAAACTTTATTCTTGAGTTATCTTTCAGGTATAAGAAAGGAATTATCAGTATATTAACATTATTAATTCAATAAATGTTTTTGAGAGCCTGCTCTATATCAAGCAGTTTTAGGCACTGGGCACATAACAGTTAACAAAACAGAAAGAGTTCCTTCACTCCCAGAGCTAATAGTCTAGCATAAATTTTAAGGAAATTTTTAGTGTTATGTAATATAATACATAAAACTCAATGTTTCTAGCGTTATGAGTATCATAACTATAAGAAATTAATGCTTGGAGTTTCAATTCGTGGAGAATGATGCTTCAGAATCAGAATTCCCTCAATCTACTTAAAGGTGTTCTACCTCTAGTGGCATTTAAAGAGTAAATGTTGGCTTAGTTGAAGGTTTCTCTCCTTTTAGTATATTATAGGGGAATGAATTATGCTTCATGGTCTGAGAGTGTTTTAAGTATATGACCTTTAAAAACACGAATTCCCTATATTCTAGAATTCAGTTCATGGTGCATATAAGTTAATGATCTCAAGGGAAGTAGAAAAGCTTTGTGGGAAGCAGGTTGTGTGTATTTTTTTATGGGTGAGGGGAAAATATCTGTAAATGTGGGGAAAGTTCCAAGCAGTTCCTGGAAGCAGTTACTGCCTCCTCTGGGGAGCCAGTGATGAGCTCAACTGGGCTGAGAAAAATCTGTGCAGATGTTAGCACTGACTGCATCCCAGCCTCAAGCCCCGCCAGAGACCACCCCCCACCCTTAGTCATAAAGGACAAAGTGAGAGCACAAGGTACAGTCTCCAGTGGAACTCCATGTGCATATCAATTTTTTGCCTGCACCTGGGTACCTAGAGCACAGTCAGGAGTGGAAAAATCAAGGTAATGTACTGAGGAGCGAAAGGATGCAGAACAGAAAAGCAGTTGGCCTGTCATTCCAGCTGAAAGACAAGGAAAAATACCTCCTAACCTTGAGAAGGGGGCACATTGTGGGGCTTTATAATCAGATGGCCTTATCCCATTAGGGTAACCAACAAAGTACTTCCACAGTTAGCGCAATGAGGAATGCCACTGGGATGGTTGGGCTGTGCTGAATTCCTTGGACTTTCAAGTTTTGTGTCTGTGGCAGTTTTTCGAGCAAAACCAGACCAATTGGATGCAGTTCTTAAAAAAGAGACATTCTCATTCTTTGTTTCAGACTCAGGCACTGGATTCTCTGGACCACATGAGTTCTTGTTTGCTGGTTCCATAAGCTCTGAAGATTTGTGGTTGTAATTTTTATCTATCAGATTGGCAGTCAGTGGTTGATAACATAGTAGAGGTGAAGGGGCTAACAGGAGCTCTTACATTTGTTCTGTAGGAAGTACAGGTTGGTACAACCTCCATGTAGGATAATTTCCCACTTTTCATCAGAATTAGAATTTAGATATGCACATACATTTCAAACTTGAAATGCCACTTTTAGGAATTTATCTTACAGATATTTTTTTTACCTGAATGAAGTTACATGTCCAAGAATATATATCGCCATCATTGTTGTAGTAGCCAAAAATTGGGGACATGCTAAACGACCATCTGTAGAAGACTGGGATTAAATGAAGTATATTACACGTATACAAAGGAGTACCCTGTGGTCTTTCAAAAGCAATAGAAAGTTTTCTCTATGAATTTATGAGGAAGTCACCAAATTTATTAAGGTAAAATACACAGTGTGCTTTGTCTAGCATACTACCATATATGTGTGTGTGTAAGTATATATGAACAATGGTAACCCGTGACCTCACAGGATGGGAGCTGGGTGGCTGAAGGAGCGTAGCAGAGAGACCTACTTTTCATCAAATGCCTTCTTGTACCTTTTACATTTGTAATGTGTGCTTGTTTTATCTATTCTTATTAACAAAGGATACTGTTGGGCCTAGTAAAGGTAAAGGAGAGCGTTCGCCTAGAAGACCGATGTAGATTGTCATGTTTTTGTTAACAGAATTGACTAGATAAAAAAGTTATCTGCCTAGTGCAATCTGACTTTTAATTAGAGCCGATACACATTTAGAATACGTCTGGAAGAACCATCTGCTTTGGATAAGTCCTGTGTAATCTTATAATAGTAAAGCATTCATAACTTTTATTTTGATGATATACTGACGTATCATAAGACACATTCAGACCAAGTATAATTTTAGAAGGCTCTAGTAAAAAAAAATAACGAGAAAGGGAGGAATGAGTGATATTGAGAGAGAGAAAGAAGAGGGAAGAGAGGAGAGAGGAAAGAAGTCTGAGTATCGAGTTTCTGACCTTGGGGATTGAATGACCTCAGCTTAAGATTGAAGATGAAGACATTTCAGCCAAGGACATGAGGAGCTATTGGAAAAACTAAGGGAAAGAGTTATTTTGATTTCATGATTTCTAATTAGTCTGAGAATGATTGATCAAGCGTGGTGATTTTGTTAAGCACTAGTTTCATTCTGGAAGGAACACAGAGGGAATCATGGAAAACTATGATTAGTTAAATCTTGGGACGAGGCGAGTGTGAATATTTAAAATGTGAATATTTAAATGTGAATATTTATAATGATGATATAAAATTCCCAACCTTGCTGAAATTAATCTTGTTGTGGTGGCATAATTGAGTCACTGACATTTTCAGTGCAAAAATGCATAAAATATAAACTGTAAGAAAATTAGAGCCGTAACGGGAACATATTCTCACGGATTCACTTCTCATCTTTTCTTCCGTTTCTGCCAGAGTAAATGGGAAGTTGGTAGCCCTGAAGGTGATCAGGCTGCAGGAAGAAGAAGGTACACCTTTTACAGCTATCAGGGAAGGTAGGCATTTTCTCGTTATCTTTGCTTTTGTGTTTGCATGATGCCTGTAGCTGTTTAAATATTACTCACCTCTCATATGCAGAGTTTGTAAATTATATGGTTATATCTCATTGGAAAGTGTAAACTGAAATTTAAAAATCAGTATCTCTTGCAATCATATCGAGTCATGTTAAATAAAATAAGACAATCCTGCTGTATACTCAGGTGTGGGGGAAAAAACCTGATGTGTATTGATGGTGAGACTAAAGCTGACTGAGGAATTTTATATGCTTGGTTTTGTTTGTAGGGTTTCTAAGGTACATATTAATCTAGCATTACTTTATATTCATGACTTTTAAGAAAAGTCCTTACACATACTGGGCTCATGCTATCTTGTTAGTCATTTGTATTTCTTCTTTCTTGATTTCTTTGTTCCTGTCCTTTACTATTTTTTCCGTTGGTCTTTCTTATTGACATTTAGATACTCTTTATATATTAGCATCATTTATCTTGTAATATTTTCTTTGGTCATTTTTCTAAAAATTTCTCTTACAATATAGTTTGTTACATACATGTTTTTAATTTTTATAAAATAAAATTGCTTTATATTTTATTTCTGCATAGTTTCTCTACTCCAAGAGAATAAAATATCTTTTTATTAGTGGGAACTTTTCAGTTCAGTTTCACAACTTTTAGTATTAATAGCTTTCCCTCCACTACATTTAAAAATTTTAGTGCCAATATAGTTAACAAAGTGTTATATTAGTTTCAGGTGTACAGCAATATAGTGATTCAGCAGTTTTGTACATTACTCAGTGCTCATCATGATAGGTGTATTTTTAATCCCCTTCACCTATTTCAGCCATCCCCCCACCCACCTCCCCTCAGGTAACGATCAGTTTGTTCTCTATAGTTAAGAGTGTTTCTTGGGTTGTTTTTTTTGTTTGTTTGTTTGTTTGTTTTTTCCCCTTAAATTCCACATACAGGTGAAATCATATGGTATCTGTCTTTCTCTGACTGACTTATTTCACTTAGCATGATACTCCCTCCACTACATTTTTAAAAGTACAAATTATCTTGACATAAGACTTCAGCTAATTTTTTGCACTGAAGGAACTGTAGCTGGCCCACCACAAGATAACTGTGAGTGATTTACTGCAATAATATCATTAAGGTATTGAGGAATTAAATGTAGTCTGTCCCTGGTCTGATTTGTTTCTCACAACCATCATTATGATTTACATTTGTTTTTGAGAGGCCTCCTTTCGGTTTTCACTTTCTCACCTCTCATTCTCCTTTTCGTACCACTTCCGTTTGGTTTCCATCATTCCTACTTAGCTGAAAATGTTGTTGTGAAGGCATCTTTATGAAATATTTGTTACATAAAGAGGGTGCTCCCGTCTGATGGGATTGGAAACCACTGGTTGAGATAGAGCAGTGGTTCTCATCGAGCTCTGGAGGGAGGCAAGGTGGAGTGCTCTTGAATTTGATTTTGCTAGACCCTGAGTGCTAGGGTGTAGGAAAGGGGCAAAGAGAGGCTGGGCCAAGAGAGAAGCAGGAGGAAATGAAACTGGGCAGCAGGCACGCTCCCTAACGTGTGGGGTATACACTGCAGTTTACCAGCCTGCCCTTGCTGTTCGTGCTAGCCTCGGTTCAAGGTTCAGAGCAAGTTTATAATGGTATTAGAGGATCCAGTTGTGACAGTTGGACTCATCAGTGCGAAGTTCAAGGGGAGAAACAAATGGAGCCAAACTGAAGTGGTGGTTGATCTGTTCATACTGCCTAGGTATGAGGCAAGGCCGTGGGGCACAAGGTAGGCCTGAGATCAACGTGGGAACGGGCCCTGGGAGGCAGTTGTGTCAGAGAACGCAGGCCTCTGTGGGTTGGGGAGCCTCTGAAGACTTTTGAACTGAGTGTATTAGGAAGATAAATCTGATATTAGGTATGATATAGATTAGATGAGGAGGAAGCTGGAAGCTGATAAATCGGTCATTCAAAGTCGTGCAGATTTGAAATTACGAGGACCTGGATTAATTAGAAAGCAGTGACAAAAAATGATTTGTAGAGAAAGAAATGCCAGAACAAGGTGAATTACTGGTTAGAGATTATTTGAGAGGGAAACATAAATGGTTTTGAGTTTGAGTGAGTAAAAACATGGTGCCAGAGGGAGAAATAATTTGTGTTGCTTTTAACACTTTGCAGTTTGAAAGGGCGGTTATCTACTGTAAACTTCACTTGAGCCCTTTGAAGGGATTGTGTATAGAGTTTATACTGTTTATAGAATCTGTGGTACGAGTATGGAATTGAGGCCTAGAGAGGTTAGTTGACTTGCCCAAGGTGTTGGATCTTGTACCTAGGCTTTCTTAGTTAGTACTCTGTGGAGTAGTAGATTTGAGTTTTGGACTTTCTGAGTTCATGATACGTCTATACGAAAATGTCTTTTTGGCGATGTGGGAGTAGATCTCATGAGAGTTTAGCATAAACAGTATATATTTAGCATGGTCCTTAACAAGCTGAATGAGTGTAAGATTTTTGTGGGAGAGGACTTTGAGCAAAAAACAGGGAGTTAAATTGGAAGGGAGTGTAATGAGGTGGAAAGCCCCGTGGATATTAGAGTCTAGAAATCTGGGCTTCATTCTGGCTCTGTTTTTCATCACCTACCAGACAACATGAGGCAAGTCACCTATATTACTTTGCTAGGGCCACTGTAGCAAAGTACCATAGGACAAGTGGCTTAAATAACAGAAATTTACTGTGTCGTAGTTCTGGAGGCCAGAAGTCCGAGGTCAGGGTGTCGGGGTCCTGCTTCGGAGGGCCATGAAGGCAGGATCTGTTTCAAGCCTTGGCTTGTGGATGGCCATCTTTTCCCTGTGTGTTCAAATCATCTTCCCGCTACCTGTGTCCAATTTCCTTTTCTTGTAAGGACACCAGTCATATTGGATTAGGGCCCACTCTAATGATCTCAGTTTAGCTTAATTACCTGTGAAAACCCCCTGTCTTCAAGTAGGGTCACATGCTGAGGTGCTGGGGTTAGGACTTCAACATGTGAATTTTGGGGGACACAATTCAGTCTCTAACACCACCTCATGGCTCTAGGCCTCTGTAACCCTGGTTGTGGAACATGGGAGTTGGTTTGTGCCATCTCTCAGGAACCATCTCCCTCTATGTTATTGTTTTGATTTCCCACGGGATCTTCAAACTCAGAGTTTTGAATACCCTGGAGAGCAGGGAAGGCTGCAAGAATTGTTGAGGCCTGGAGGAACAGATCACAAAATGACATTGTATTTTCCATTGAATAAAGTATTTTGAGGTTTCCTAATACAATCTGACTTCTCGGTGATTTTTAATGGAGATAACTGACCCAACAGTAAGAAGAGGAATTAAACTTTGGGTCAGTTTTGGTTATTTACTCCTCTCTTGCCTTCTTATTCCCTCCTCTCATAGTCTTATTTTTCTCATTTTTCTGCTCTGTATGTTTGAAAGCAAAAGCTAGCACAATTGCTCCCTTTTGCTGTGAATAATGATTCATGCAAAGTAACTCCTCTGTGTATCTGGTGGTAGAGTTTGAAATATTTAGAATGGGGGTGGGTGACGTTTGGGATATGTTCATTTTTGCATTTTTACATTTTTGCATCTTTACATTGATGAGGGTGTAGCATGGCTTGCTCAATTGAGACGAAGCACTTTAATTTGAGTTTGCCTCTTTTCTGCTATTTTGGTCAATTTCCTCATTCACAAAATGTCAACAGCAGGAGGATTTCAAAGGAGGAAAACAGAAAAGTAGTTTTCAAGTGGCAGCTTGCCACTTAGAAGCTTACCTGGGAATTTAGATTTTAACACATAATTTTCACTTAAAGTAGAACTACTTGTCAGCAACTCTAATCTTACCTGGATTTATGTCCAGAGATGGATTTTGAATTTTATCTCAGAGCTAGAGTGCTTACTGGCTTAATTCGGGTTCAGGTGCTTTGAGACTCATTCTATTTTTGATGGCAGCTTAGAGAAATTAAGCAGCAGTGCTATGGGCTAGCTATTCTCTTTTTTATTCTCATATGATATCTTCATAGATTCTGATGGTAAGGATAGAGTCAGGAGATACTGGCATGTTTTCAAAATGAGTAGATAAAGTTTCTTAGGATATCCCATCTTGTTTTTTTTTTTTAAGATTTTATTTATTTATTTGTTAGAGAGAGACCGAGAGAGACAGAGAACATAAGTGGGGGGAGGAGCAGAGGGAGAAGGACAAGTAGACTCTGCACTGAGCACCGATCCCAACACGGGGCTCGATCTCACGACCCTGAGATCATGACCTGAGCCAAAATCAAGAGTAGGACACTCAACCCGACTGAGTCACCCAGGTGCCCCAGGCTATCCCATCTTTATAAACAACTTCAAGATGTCTGATGTCTGTATTCTTGCTCTGTGATACTATATTCTAGATATTCAACAGTTTATTTGTTTGTTTGTTTTTGGCTAAGATTTGCCCAGAGAAAGAATAGAAAGGAACCAGTTATCATCTTTTGTGAATTTTTGAATACCTAATAGTTTTCTTAGGCAAGAGTTAAGAGAAATCTAGATACTGTAAAAGAGAACAGTTTTCTTTTAAAGATTTTATTTGTCAGAGAGAGAGAGAGCACGCACAAGCAAGGGGAATGGCAGGCAGAGGGAGAAGCAGACTCCCTGCTGAGCAAGGGACCCAATGTGGGGCTCAATCCCAGGACCCTGGGATCGTAACCTGAGCTGAAGGCAGACCCTTAACCAACTGAGCCACCCAGGCATCCCTCACCCTTCCACATGCAGATCTTTACTGAATCTCCCTATTTTCATTTCAGTTTATGCAGCTAGTTTAGAGGGACTAAAATATACTGAAGTACTTAGGGCATAAAATGATGAGGCTCTGTGAAACAGTGGGGGGAAAGAGGAGATGAATGTGTTTGGGAAGGACTTAAGAGGGATAGCTGGTAGGGCTTGGTGTTTGACTAGACATAGAGCTTGATAGAAATGGGATATTCAGAGTATTC